CTCTGACAGGCGTCTTCCAGACCTCAGCGCTGGAACGTCTCCCTGCGAGACGTCGGAAATAAACTCCAGAGCCGCGCTCTGATGAGTGGAGCAGACTTCCTGATCCTTTCCGAGCTGGGAGGTAGGAGGGAGGCCTGGAATAGGCAGCTCTCCTCGCTTCTTTCCAAACACAGAAGAGCAGTCACCTGTTTTTAATAACAAACCGTGCGAGTCCAGGAATACTGTGACTGATATGTCCCAGATGGTCTCCCTTTTTCCAGACCCTGGGGGCATTTCTTTGGGATAGAAGTTTATTTATCACAACTCCTCCAATCTCCACTCCTTCTCCCCCTTTTTTGAGGAGTCTTCTTGATGAATGTGGTGGGGTGCAGATAATTTTATGTACTTATTAAGGGCTCCATCAGTTTTTGTGTTAAGCTGGATTTACATGAACACAAAAATGCAAATGCGACGTTTTGTTCCTGCACAGTAGAGTTCCCAGCAGGCAACCTGCAACATGACCTATGACCTTCCCATAATTCATTGCAGTTTCTGGAATTGACAAGAGCTGAATAGGAAATAGACAACACTTCCATCCTGAAGTTGTGCACTGAAACTAGAAAAATTACTTGTTTTTTAACCAATACATTTTATACTAACAAATTCAGAGTACCGTTTTGTGACAATGCCATCAATTAATCACAGCCCCTGTACGTCTTCAGTGTAAGTTATAAAGTAAAGATACAACTTTTCAGACAGCGGACTCCCGTAGGAAGTTGGAAGAGCATGGAAACATTACTTTTAGCATGTGTGTGCAGTGAAGTTTGATCTAACAAAGAATATATCAATTCTGGTTTATAAATAAGTGGACCTTTATAATTTCTAATAAATAAAATTAAATGAATCTTTTACCACACATTTAATTCCATTTTCAGATTATATATATAATACTAAAATCGCTCCTCATAAGACCCTTTGTCGTATAACCAAGCATCTCTGTCCGCGTGACTGATTATCCAAAGTGACCCAAAGGTAACTCCATCTTTGTTAATCTCACTGACCTTCTCTAAAAGAGAGCATTAATAGACCTACAGCCAGCTTTTTTATTTATATTATTTCTGCAGATAACATCAAGTCAGGAAGCAAAAATTTGCCAGAATCCCGAGGCTGGAAATTAATCTTGACCAGTCTGTTTTGACATAAGAATAAAGAGGAAAGGTTATAGACAGGAGGTTCAAGCCTGCCTTGGCACTTCTGGCTACTAATTGATCAATCAGCCAAATATCACTTGAAGCAATTTTTCAAGAGAGATGGGCAGCTCCAGTCCCTGCAGGCTTAATTACTTAATTACTGAATTGAACTAATGTACTGAGTCTGAATCAGTGGCAATTTAAAAGTACCTGTCAAACCTGCAGGACTCCAGGACTGTGCTAAAGGATCACAGGCCTGGGGAGACTTGGCAGTAATTAGGGAGCTACCCTAGTTGCAGGCTCGGTGCAGAGAAGGGTCTCTGTTTCTTTATGTTGAATGTGCCACTATCCGTATGTAAGTGATCACGTCATATACTGTGACCTCAGTTCTGCAGCACTGTGAACTTCACACAGTGAACAGAAGAAATGCACTAACCCATTTTCTCTAGAAGAGGGATGTAGAGTCTACCACAGGGCACCAGCTTGTCTTCTGGGGGGTACTACACCTTTTTCACCCCAATGTTCCTGGGGGTTTGCATCTTGAGTATGGTGCTTCTGAGAGGGAGGCAGAGTACATCCCATCACTCCCACCTTCCTGTACCCCCAATTTCATCCATCTATCATCCATTTCCTAAATATTTCCGATGCAGGGATGCTGGGGAGCCAGCAAGCAACGGGCGCAAAACAGGACGCACCCTGGAGAGATACTCCCAGTGCAGGGCAGACACACATACACATTCACACCAAGACCAGATGCCAATTACCTTACCAGCAGGTCTTTGGACCGTGAGAGGAAACCTACAAAAAACACAGGAAGACCATACAAACTCCACACAGACAGCACCCCAGGTCAGGAACTGAACCCAGGGCTCCAGCACTGTGAGGCAGCAATGCTACCCACTGTGCCATCCATCCCAAATACCGACGTCTCCAATTGTTTTGGCTCAGTTTGGATGCAAGTGACTCCTGAGAACCATCAGGATGAATGTGATGGATGCCCGAGCCAAACACGTTGAAATAAAATGCTTCCAGAAGGTACTCATCTAACTGACTCACAGGAAGAAACACCAGAACCTACTCACCTCCTGTACAGCACAACGAAACACACACAGACCACAGCCTGCCCCCTGCACACACAGACAACTTGCAGGTCAGGTGTTTATGTAGACAAGCTGCATTAAACAGCCTTTGAGGCTAATCAAAAACCTGCTCTAAATTACTGCTGGCCTGTTTAAAAGGATTCAGCACATGTAATGCCAGCTATGCAGTGACAGTGGAGTGAGTGAAGTCGAACCTAGTTCCCCCTGTGAGCTCTGCACACCCTGAGGAAGCAGTGTGTGGAATTGGGCTGAGCTTAGGAAACCTGCCTAGAAACGTTTATGCTGGTTTCCAGTGATTAAAGCACATTTTCCTTAGTTCTTAACACTGACCTAGAGATACTTCAGGTGCGTTTTTTAATACACAGAGGTTCCAATGGTGCAATATTGACAATGGCACACTCCGATCTTTAATACTGATAAAGAGACACCCTGATCTTTACTACTGACACCGATCTTTAACACTGACACACCTGTTCTTTAATTCTGATATCTAGGCACACCATTCTTTTATATTGACACTGAGATACTCTGTTCTTTAACACTGACAATGAGACACCCCATTCTGTAATACTGATGAAGAGAGACCTCAATTTTTAATACTGTCACTGAGATAACCCATTCTTTAATTCTTCCTTTAAGATATGATTATATATTTTATGATTTCTTATACATTTGTTTTGCATCCATGCAACTATGTTTTATACACACAGAGAGACTTACAAAAAACATACGAGCAGTACAAATATTACATAAAAGACATCATCCACTACATAGTCCTCTCCCACAGGAATCCGCATTAATCACCAGAACCTGTAAGTTTACTCCCCCACAATTGCCCTGAGCCCTTATAACTGCACACACATAACCACTCATTGCTCTTGCCCATAAACCATCACTCCTTAATTGTGAACTCATTGATTGCACAGTTGGACTGAGTGTGGGATAAAGGAATTCCTCATTCTGTTACATCTACATTGAGGGACTCTAAAATATTGGGTTGAAGGCCAGTGGCTATTGTTCATGCAGAACATGTGGGGGATCAGAAGATATGCTAACAGCTAACCTCAACACACTCTTAATGTAAGCAGTATGAGCGCTCTGCCCACAAACGTAGAGCACTTCCTCAAGAGTCTGGACATCTCGGCTTCTGGTTGCACAGAAAGACTGTTTTTGTGTTTAAAACTGGCACTGAGACATTCCTTTCTGTAATACTGACACCGAGACACCCTGTTCCTTTTTCAATACTGAGACCATGAAACTCCATTTCCACATCCCAATGGCCAGCATGATTTCACAAAACTAATAAAACGACCGGATTGAAACACTTATGCAATATTAAAAAATGCAGTGAAGAATGCAGTTGTTTTTAATAATAAAAAATAATACAGGCAGTCTGGTATGAAGATAGACTGCGCCGACTGTCTGAAGCTCGGTTTATAAGCTTTCCCCTCGTTATCCTGGGGTTTTAACGATCGGGGAGGTTTTACTGCGCCCCACGGCCCTGCCTGCCCACCCTCCCTGTAAACTTTCACTTCTCCCGGGGTTGGTGGGGGGCGGTTTGATGTGGCTTTAATGCCACACTTTGCAGATCCTTATAAATGCCTAGCATAACTCAAGAGTCATACTCCGGGTTGTTTTCACTTGAATGAAAACATTCAAGCAGGCTGGAGCCCCTGTGCTCCTCTCCAAAGCCTGGAGCAGGGAGAGAAAGAGACAGGATTAATAGGAACAGTACAGTCCAGTACAGGGAGGATCTATCCATCATAGAGTGGCGCCCTCTACTGAGGGGCTGCCATGGGGCAGGGGAGACACTGGCAAGTTGAAGGACCGCTGTCTTTATGCAGTTGTCTGTCTGACTTTTAAAGATTTCTCTAATGTGTCAATAGTTTGATATACTTTTCAGATGTTTTTCTGGTACAACTTGTGTATGTGCTTTGGTAGTGAATGCGAAATAAGCATGCCAGCAAAGCACCATTGAATCAACTTTGTTATATTTAACACAATAATTGCTAACTAGTGATCGATAAAGCCTATAGCAGTTTAATGTCCTTCTACTCTGCCCCCCAGGAGCACGGCTTTGTTAAACACCTCGAGATCTGCTCACTATGACACATGATGTGACTGTGAGCAGTCTGCCTTTGTGCTCATGTCTCTAATGAAAGGTATAGCTCACCCAATCATCACATCTGTTGAACAATATTGAACACAAATGCGGTCTAGCCCATTCGTAACAAGAAAACACTTCATGATCTGTACTAGCTTCTAGTCTCCAGACTCCCCCCAGTAGGGAGATCATGCTGTATTTAAGATGGCAGGCTGGAGACAGGCGACTAGCAGTGTGTGAAATGCTACTCAGCTCAGAGGGATGATAAATCCCAGGGCTGTGCGCTGGCGGAGTGAATCAGTGCTGCGCGGCTCCCACACTCTCACACAGCTGATCCATGTGTAGCATTGAGAGATGGCACCAGAAAGAGGAAGGTGGAAGAGGGGAGTGATAAAGAAATTAACTTTCAGTGCTGTCCTTCCACCATGCTCCGGTTGCATTGTGAACAATTCATTAAGTTACATTTAACTTTAGATATGTCTCTTTCACTGGGCAATAACACAAGGGTGCATTTGTGTGACACTAGTCTGTGCAAGTGGGAGTTCGTTTAGATTGTTCTTGACCTTTCTTTTTGTGGGTAGTGCATCATTGTGTGTCTGGTGCAAACAAGCAAGCTCTGAGACTGTGTAAAATCAGGCTGTTTATTACAGGTCCAGACACTGAGGGAGAGGGGAAGTGGACTGTGTGTTGGCCCAGCTGCTAAACAGTACTAGAAATCACTTAGCCTACAGACAGGTGGCCATTTCCCCATGTTCCAAGTGAGGGAACCAGGACAGGGTAGCTGGTAATGTGCCAGCTTTTATGGCTATTCATGAACTCCAATAAAAGACATTTTCTCTCAACTGCCTACATAATTACCACCATGACTCTGATAAGGTGCTCTGTCGCCATGTCAGTGATATGCATAGCACTTTAAGAGAAAATAACTCATTTTGACTGAGAAAAGGCAAACATACTTTTTTCAGAAAATGTTAGCATCAGGGTGCTGAACGTGACACGTCCATGCTGTGACACCTTATCTTCAGATTCACACAATACATTGTTGATAAGACAGGCATCGTCTTGGATGGTGGTGGCAAGAGCTTGTGATTGGCTATAGCCAGAAGCTCTTAAGACTCGGTGCATCTCGTCGCCCCATGTCCTGGTGATGTGGGGGCCTGCATAGCCATGTCCTAGCTGTTCTCTGTGCTCCCAAGTTGAGAGAAGTGTTCAGACATGGCAGCCAGAGCACGGTATCGGTGAGAGATGGAGTTCTTCACTTCCTTTGGCAACTCCGCATAGCTGGGAGAGGAAGGCAGAGGGGGTAAGGGATTGCAAAAGGTAGAAGGGGAGAGAAGAGATTTGGAATGGTGTGAGGGAAGGAGAGGAGAAGAGTAAGATAATTAGAGAAGCACTAGAGGAATCACAATTCCGAGGTACTGTAAAGGTTCTGATTTCCACAGCATGAGAAGTCATGTTCTCACGTAATAAAGAGTTGGTTACAGTTTGCTTATCGAGTGATCACCAGTCCATAATGGCCTTGGGAAACACTGTGATCTAGTGTTCTATTAGATTATCAAATGCATGCATTTCACAAACAACTGGAAAAGGTTGAGAAAACAATGACACTCACGTCTTATCATACCCATCTGGCTGGAAACATGGGTCCCACCCAAAGTCCCTGGGTCCCCTGGGCTCGACAATGCGCCCCTAAGCACAGAGCAATACAGGTCAGAGTAATACAGGTACCATGTTCCAACTGCACAGCACAAACAAGGTACCTCTGTGTTTCGTCACTGTAAACTCATGTCTGAGAGTCTGAACATATTACAGACCCTCTGAGCATCAGTCCGTGTGAGTAAGTCAGTGTGAACATTCCAGGCATGTGTGCCTCAGGAATCCAGAGGGCCCTGTGTGTAAATTGGAGGGTGTGCTATTTACTCTATGCTGCAGTCCTGACCTCTGTTTTCCCCCTGAAGAGCAACACTGGCTCCTCTTTTCCAGCGCTGTAGGCAAAGGTGCACAGAGCCCAGGCTGACTTGTCCTCAAACCCAGCCAGCAGCTTGTGCAGACCTGAAGGACAGATCAACAGAGAAAGTGGAGGGAGGGTAAAATCATGAGTGAAGCTTTTCATTTAATGATTTCGTACAGCATCTGGGAAGAGACTAGATTAATAGACAGGAGCTCCCTTACTGGTACTTACTGGTGTTGGGGAAAAGGGACGGGGAAAGCGAGACTTACAGAGAGACAATAATACAGACAAGAGAGACGGTCAGTGTTTTACCTTCAGGCTTCAGCTTGTCCAGAAACCACTTTCTGGAAGAACAACATGCAGAGGACACAGTTAACTGTGGATGAAGACACGTGAATATCTTGTTACATAGTTCTTATTCATTTTCAAAGACCTATCATTGATCTTCTTTCATGACATCATCCAGGTGGGGCTGCACATTGGTGGCGATGGAGGGGCTTCCCCATTACCTGTAAAGCGCTTTGAGTGGAGTGTCCAGAAAAGCGCTATATAAACGTAAGCAATTATTATTATTATGCAAAGGAACAAGTAATAGGTTTATTCCATGCTGAAAAAAAGAAGAAAGAAAACACAATGTTTCGGCCGTGGGGCCTTCTTCAGGTGTGAGAAAGACAAGGCCTGAGGTTGACTGAGGTTTGTTTGGGGAGCAGAACAAGGTAGAAACTCGTAAGAAGCAATAAGTAGAAAAACCTTTTCACAGTGGACCTAAATATGCTATTGAATATATGCTTCCACTCTTCAGCAAATTACACCTCTTGGCCACTAGAGGTCAACATTGCACCACCGACAACCTGTCAGTTAGTCCACTATTGCCCTGTCGCAAACACACACACGCCATACTCACATATAAGGTCCCGGCAACCCTCCTAGTGCTCGAAAACATAGACAGGTGTCCTCCACTATCACTGGCCCATCAATCTGTGAGATTGTGATTAACATAAAGGATCAGTGAACAAGAGTGAAAACCTGAGTGTGTCTGTGCCTCATAAGCCTTTAAAACGTCACAGCACAAATGTTACAGACAAGGGGACGTCATTCCGCCAGCCAATCTTGTTTGGTTGCTAGTATGTGTTGTTTAATTTCCTGTGTGAAGGCGTGTTCAGGAATATGGACCTGTCTCTGACTGCCTCACTCAGTAATTTAGAGAAATCAGTGTGCACACAGATCAGGCATGCAAAACAGTGTGATTCATTGCAGGATCTGCAGCCTGCAGGCTCATGTGTAAATTATACTAATAAAGAAGAGAAAATGAATAGAGACATGCAAGATGATTCGAAGACCAAACCTGTCCATCCAATTTTACTCAAAATCAAAAAGCAGCTCGCAAATCCTGAAACATCACAGACTGATACACAGTAGAAGTCTTAGTTCCACCCTCACAGTACACAAACTCCATACTCTGCTGACCTGTCTGGCAGCCTCCTGGCACTTTTGTATGGAGATCTCATCAGGTTCGCCTTGGTACTCCGGCACTGAAAACACACCACAGTAAAAACTAATACAGCTCTCCCTGCAAGCAGCATCAGGACCACTCCCTTCATATTCACTGATGTGCTCTACTGATTGTCTACAGTTACAGCCATACACTGACTGAGCTCTCTCAGTTCACATCAAAAGGTTCTTTCTTGCCATGACGAAACATTTTTATGTCTGGTTGCTAAAACACACAGGGACCAAGTTCGCTTTCTCTGTACTCACAGTCAATCTTCTTGGACATGAGCCTGTAGGGGAACTTGTCTCCCAGTATCTGAATGACCTGTGTAAGACACAGAGATTTAATACAAGAACTCATCCGTAGCCACTGTAATATTTGTGTGCGTCAGCAGTGAAACTGCATGTTGATTGGTGGAGGGCTGAGCGGGAATAACGGTTACTCAGGGTCACAGATCATAGTGAATGTAGGAGCTAACGGGTTCGGAGTTACAGGTGAAATAAAGAGTTTGTTCGAGTGTCACATCGTCGTCCTGGGTTGTTAATTTCTACAGTATACGTGTACGAGAAACAAGACAGGCACCTTCACACATTGCACAGATATGTTCACAACAGTCGATGCGACACTCGGGATAATGATGGGTTTTAAAGTTTCTTCCTCTCCCTAGCTAGTGATGCACCGTGACGTACCAAATACTGTACTTTACGCTCCTGAACGACAACAGTTAGAAAGAGCCATTTTAAAAGAAGTGCTGCTAAAAACGAAGAATAACACAAACCGAATGAAATGGGTCTCACTCGATATTACGTGTTGTGGTTCATTCATACACTAATCTTTAATACGGTGTACTCAAATAACTAACACAACTGGTCAAGCCAAACAGCTTTAACCAATAAAATAATAGCTTGGTCATATTCTTTCTTTCCATGTTCAACTCCTGCACTCATTTTACTGTTTTCTCTCCCTCAGTTCTCACCTCCTCCAGTTTCTTGGCATTACCCGTCACAAACACCACCGACCTCCCAGCCGGCGCCGCCATACTTCAACTTCCAGCTACCAAGCACGAAGGAACACACAGACATCAACAACATCCGGTCCCGCTGCGTATCAGCCAATCATCTGACAGAATCCGGCAATTGGCCAATCGGAAAGCGAGCTAGGAGGCTACTCGCCGTTAATACGATCCAATCATATGTGTCGTAGAGGATTGTGTTCTACACTGATCATTGTCCGAGTAGGAAACAGTTCTGAGAAACACATGTGGGAAGGTGGTATGCGATATGAACCTGCTGACTTGTAACTGTAGTTATAGATTTTTATAAGAATCAAGGTGTAGGGTTTAAACAGACGATCGAGTAAATGTTGATTACAGGATGTTGCCTGTGTAGCTAGGTTAGATACATTTTGTAAGTTACTCTCACTGGTAACTAGTCGAGTTTCTCCCACTGGTATCATTTAGGGTGCATTTTACACGGGTGTCGTATTAGTGTTTTAACAGTATTGCAACAACTGTAGGGGTCACTAAAGAGTCCCTAAAAGTAAGATTACCAGAGATTCACAGACACGTCTGTTGAGCCTGGTTTATGGTGAGAGACAGTGTCTTCTCATATTCGCAACGTCTTTTATTTACTTCAACATGGAGTTGTCCACAACTGTAATGTGAAAGGCGTGCTAGCAGAATAGAGCAGTGTAGTGGCGGGACAGGTTATTGGTAAGTTTAGCGCCTGTGTTGCTACAGTATACTGAGTCCTTGACACAAACTCAAACCCTGTCGCTCACGCGGCCCCACGATGAGTCTGTTGCCACGCACCGCGGAGGAGTTCAGCTCAGCGGAGTACTGGGAGCGCTTCTTCCGCCGGCGCGGTGACCGTGCGTTCGAGTGGTATGGTGGATATACTGATCTGTGCGGGGTGTTACACAAGTACATCAAGCCTCGGGATGAGGTAAGTATGTGAAACTACATGACCAGACCGTTCAGTGCTTGTTATCCTTGTTATTCTTAGGATTGAAGTCTTTCCTTCAGTCGCAGACGGCACCACTGTGATAATAATTATAATTGACAATTTCTTGGATTTATTTAGTGCTTTTAGTTTCAAAGGATCCCAGGAAGCTTTACTTATAGGCTGGGCGAGTTGCAGAATCCCAGCAACCCCCCCAGATCAGGTGGAGAAATGAGAAATTGCTTCTCCGTTTTAGTTAAGGGGGAACTTTCCAAGGTCCAGATTGTACAACTGCAGAGTGAAATTTAGCCAGGACACCAGGGCTAACATCCGTTTCTTTTAAAATGTGCCACAGCATGTGTAATGTCCAAAAAGTCAGGACGTCTCATCTGCACGATGAGATGCATCCTGTAGCAGTGTCTCTGGTCATTGCGGTTTAGAAATTGAGGTCCAGATAGAAGTTTTATCAGCAAATGCACCTGATGGCAACAGAATGATTGTGTAGTTTTGTTCTCGCATTTTTGGTCCTCTAAAACTAGGATAGTTGTTCTTGATCCTGTCACAGCCCAACAAGTTTCCCGTAAACATAAAAATGTAATTCAAATATTTGTTTCAAAGATTCCAAGAGCAAGAGGTGCCCTCACCTCAATGCTTTTCCTCATCTTCCTCCACCACTGTTAATAATTCCTTACGCTTATTTAGTGCTTTTCTGGACACTCCCCTCAAGGTGCTCTACTGGTAATGGGGACTGTTCTCCTCTCTCTCTGGAGTGTGTGTCGTCCTGGCATCTCCCTCTTCCTCAAGCTTTGCACTGCCTTCGTCACTGAATATTCCGTTCCGTTCCCTTTCCCAGGTGTTGGTGGTGGGCTGTGGGAACTCGGAGCTGAGTGAGCAGCTGTACGACGTGGGGTACCAGCGGCTGACCAACATCGACATCAGCGAGACGGCCATCGCGGCCATGAGCCAGCGCAACGCCGCCCGCCGCCCCGGGCTGACCTTCCTGCGCGTGGACGCCACGCAGACGCCCTTCGAGAGCCAGCAGTTCCGCGCCGCCCTGGACAAGGGCACGCTGGACGCCATGGCCTCCGAGGAGGGGGGTGCCGCGGAGGGGGGCCTAGCGAAGAGGATGCTGGTGGAGGTGGGGCGCGTGCTGGGCGTCGGGGGGCGCTACGTGTGCGTCTCGCTGGCCCAGGAGCACGTGCTCAAGCTGGCAGTGGAACACTTTGTCGGGGAGGGCTGGGCGGTCAGGGTGCACTGCCTGGACGGGCAGGGCGGCACCTCTGACCCCGAGTCGTCCTCCTGTGCCCTGCCCGTGTTCGTGCTGGTCTGCACCAAGTTCCGGCAGCCCCCTCCAGCTCCGCTGCTGGAGCTGTGCCAGGGAGAGGATGGCGCCGCCCAGAGACATACCACGGTCCCCGCCTTGCTGGGGGCGGTCCGGGAATGCCAGGCCTACGCCCTCCTGCGAAGCCGCCTGCGCACGGGCACAGATCCTGCCCACAGCCCTGCCCTGCAGCTGCTCCACCCCCCGTCTGGACGGCCCCGGTACACTCTGCACGTCCTGGACAGTCCTCCTGGCACCAAGGTGCCCCGCGCCAACCACTTTGCCATCTTCATCGGTGAGTGAGACTGGCACTGCTCTGCAGCAGGACAGAACCAGACACACAAGCACAGGAAGGATTTCACGTTTTCAAGATCTGGAAGTGGTGGTTCTTTTTTTTTAGTATAACTTGCAAATCTGGTGTTCCCATCTTCACTCTCTAACCCTGAGTGTGCTTTCCTCTAAAAGGTGCACTTGCTGTAGCCATCGTAGTTAGGCGTGCTACAGCCTCTGTAGTGCCTAAGTGAAAGTTTGTGTCATCACTTTCATTAAAACGTTTTTCCTAGTCATTTTAATAACAGTGGTGTTTCTCATACTAAAGTTTTTTTATTGTATAATTTAGATTAAGTGCCTAGAGAATGCTCTGTATCAATAAAATTGATTGATTGCTAGATAAAGCTTAAGGAAGCCCAGAGGTGTTTCACTGGTTGTGCACCAGCTCTTGGGGAATTCAGGTAACAGTTAAGTAAAAACCCAGCGCAGGTGGGAGTCACCTGGGCTGGGACTGTAAGGTCCAATCTGAATTTTGAATGCTTTTACTAGCTGAGACTTTGGAGCTCATTCTTCTGTAGTGCATTCAAAAAACACAGCGTTGCGCTTGTGCAGGATTAATTTTGACACATCACTTCAGATCCTGTGTTATTCTTTTTCAAGGCGTGATCTAGTTTGAAGTTCCTTAAACCATTTTGTTTGTTTATTTAAAATATATCTGACTTATGTTAATTTCTACATCTTTCCCGTATTGCGCACCTACTGTGGTCGATATAAAAGAAGCTTGCTGGAAAATCAGAATGAGTGCTCTGATTGGCTGGTTGTGCCTGCAGTTCCTCAGGGCCGGGAAACCGATTGGCTGTATGGCTCGGCTGAGGGGCGCGGCCAGCTGGCACGAAGCGCAGCCTTCCGGCGGCTCGTCGTCGTGGCGATGCACAGGGACCAGCATTACCAGGACATGCAGGCTGTCCAATCAGAGCTGTCGTCCATGGTGATGGAACTAGCTCCGCCCGGGATGCCGACCAATCAGCAGGTAAAGGGAGGGGCTATTACCTCGCGAGTCTGTGGGTTTGCAGCTGCCTCAGTCACCACCCGTTGTTGAGTAAAGCAATAACCATTGTTGAGACCATTGTTGAGTAAAGGAAAGGAAATCCGCCTAGTAATGTTTTTACAAGTGAAGTTTTGAATTATCTATCAAATATGCTTCACATTAGAGAGCCATGTTTTATTTTTCAGCATAGTCTCCTCATGCATTCCACTTGGCCCCTGAGCCAGTCCTTCACTGTTTCCTGGCCCTCGTTGTCAACCCTCCTCCTCCTCCTCCTCCCCCCCCCCCCCCCAGGTGCCCTTCCTCTCAGTGGGCGGAGACGTGGGCTGGCGCGAGGTGGTCCACCGAGGGGTGAGCACCTTCAGTGGCGAGTTTGCGGTGGAGGATGTGCGCGGCGAGGACGGGCAGCTGTACCGGCGCCTCATCTTCCTGGACAGCGCCGGCGTGGTGCAGTCGGAGAGCCGGCTCGGCCAGCCCAGCGGTAAGGGAGGGTCCGGTGCACGTGCGGAGGCCTTTCCTTCAGATGAGACGGAAAAACCAAGGTCCTGACTCTTTGCGGTCATTAAAAATCCCAGGGTGTTTCTCGGAAAGAATAGGGGTTTCGCCCTGGTGTCCTGGCCATATTTACCAGTAATGACCTCCTGATAACCCCCCTCTATGAAGTGGCTTCATCACTCTGTTCTCCTCCCCACTGAGAGCTGATGTGTGATGGGTATAATGGCAACTTTGGCTGCCGTCACATCATCCAACTGGTAGTGAAGGGAAGTCCCCATTACCTGTGAAGTGCTTTGAGTGGAGAATCCAGAAAAGTGCTGTAGAAGTGTAAGGATTATTATTTTTTCACATAAGTCCCTCAAGGACATGTTCAGGGGACTCTCCTGGCCTCCCTCACCTCATGGTCTCTGCATGATGCTCAGCTCTGGCTTTCCTTTCCTCTCCTTCTCTTCCCGCGTCTCTAAATGTCTCTCCACCATCTCCTTCCCGGATACAGTCATGTCGCGTTGAAACTCGGCGCTTCAGAAACACCTTCATCTTCCTGTACTTCTTCCCCCTGTCCGGACCTCTCTGTTCACTCCTCTGACTCTCTCAC